ACAAAGAGATTGAGGAGGAGAGAGAGAGGCTACTCAGAACCCTCTAGAGAGAGATGAGAGAGAAGAGAGAGAGAAGAGAGAAGAGAGAGAGGCAGAGAGAAGAGAGAGAGAGAGAGAGAGAGGGAGAGAGAGAGAGAGAGAGAGAGAGAGAGAGAGAAAAAGAGAGAAGGAGAAAGAGGCAGAAGAGAGGAGAGAAAGAGATTAGACAGAGAAATACACAGAGAGAGAGGGAGAAGACAGATAGACAGATAGACATATAGACAGATAGACAAGAGAGACGCAGAGACGGAAAGAGACAAATAGATAATAGATAAAAGAGATAACAAGAAAAGAAAGATAGATAGATAGACATATAACGAGACAGATATGATAATAAATAGAAAGAAGAGAGACGGATTAGATAAATAGACGATAGAAAAAAAAAGGAAGCGAAAGCAAAAGAATAAGACCAAACGAACTCATCTTCCCTTACCCTCCTCTCCCTCCCTCCCCCCCACCTTTCCTTCTAACCCCCCTCCCCCATCCCCCCCCTCCACCCACTCCATCCAGCCATTTGCCATCTTCAGGGGTCATAAAGTCACTATCGAAGGTCAGAGTTAAGCACGGGCTGATTTACAGTGCCATTATATACCCCCCCCCCCATCCCTCCAATCCTCCCCCCCTCATCTCTTATTTTGACCCCTCTCTCCCCACCCTCCTTCTGTCTCTTCTCCATCTCCTCTCTTCTCCATATCCCTTCTCTTGCTTTTCTTTCCATCTCCTCTATTCTCTCTATCCCTTCCCTTTCTCTTGCCTCTTCTCCCATCTCCTCTATTCTCTCTATCCCTTCCCTTTCTCTTGCCTCTTCTCCCATCTCCTCTATTCTCTCTATCCCTTCCCTTTCTCTCTTGTCTCTTCTCTATTCCTCTATTCTCCTCTTCCCACTCCCCTCTCTAGAGAGAAGAGAGAGTGAGTGAGAGAGAAGAAAGTGAGAGAGAGAGAAGTGAGAGAGAGAGAGAGAGAGAGAGAGAGAGAGAGAGAAGAGAGAGAGAGAGAGAGAGAGAGAGAGAGAGAGAGAGAGAGAGAGAGAGAGAGAGAGAGAGTGAGAGAGAGAGAGTAAAACAACAAATCAATAAACAAAACCTAGAGAGTACTGCACCTTCAGATGTGAACGAACGACTTTGTTTACCTCAATTAACTAGGCGTGTCTTATTTCCTTCGTTCACATCCATTAACGGCAGGATATCCGGCAATAGGCGCAGAAGACTGAGAAGAGAAGAAGAGGATGCAGGGAAAGAGGAATTATAAAGAAAGCGTATAAACATCAAATAGAAAATGATAAAAGAAACGTGAAGAGAAAGAAAATGAGAAAATAATCACGTTCTGTATGTCATTTTTCTTTTTCTTAATGATCTATATCTATGAATTTTTCTATCAGTCCAAACCCATATACATCTATTTATTTTTTCTCCCTACCTACCAACTCATTTGTCTATCTACTTATCTAGCTGTCCATCAATCCAGCAATTTATCTATCTCTGTATTACGTATATGTCTATCTATCTGTATATATGTATGCAGTATGTACATGAAGTCGCATTCGTCATGTCAGCTATAGCCTTCAAAATATTTATTTATTTATTTTTATTATTATTCTATTTTGTTTTATTATTTATTTATCTTTTATTGGAAATTTGGTGATTCCAATGCGTCTAGATAATGATCAAAGAATTCTTTTCTAGATTTACAAATAATTGCCATTTTTGTATTCTAATTCAATTTATCTTTTATTCCTGATCGTTTATTCTGTCGTTGATAAATCAATTATCTGTGGCCTTTTTAAGATGTGATCAAGGTAGTTATATAGTTTATATGTTTATGATTCTCTTTCTGTTATGTATGTCAGATACTAGATTGGTTGATATTTTATCTATTTATCTATTTTCTAAGGCTTAATCTTCTTCCTTCTCTCTTTGTTTGGCTAACCTTTCTCTCTCACTCTCTCTCTTTGTTTATCTGTCAGTCCCTCTCTCTCCCTTTCTGCTCCCCCCCCACTCCTCACTATCTCTCACTTTCTCTCTCTTTCTCTCTTCCACCTCGTCCATCCATCCCCTCATGCAGTCGTGAATCCCTCCTTAGAAAAACGACACGGCACCAACTGCGTGACGCCAAGATAGCAAACGTGCGGCCACGGTTGACTGCATCCACGAACGCACCTTGTCAACAGCGTCGGGAACATGTGTGGGGAGGGACAAACTTGGAAAAAGTGAATGGGTGATTCTTATCCGGGGTGGGTGGTGTGGGTGGGTGGGTGGGGGTGGTCCGTCTTTGTGTTAGGTGGAGATGTTTTTTCATGTTTGTGTGTTTATGGGAGATGGTGGGTGGGTGGAAGAGGAGTACGGGGGAGAGGAGGGAGGGAGATAAAGAAGGCAGAGAACAGGAGGGAGGGAAGAGAGAAGGGGGGGTAAACTGGAATAAACAAATTATGGTATAAGACGGGAACAATATTGCCTTCTTATTGGTAAAGCGTGTGACTCGTCTTTCTAAATCGAGGTGAAGCATATGACGAATGACTTGAAGGTTGATGTGAGATGAAGATAAAGAAGATATTTCAAGTGAAAAAAGTCTAAGAAGTTCTGAGCAACATTTTCTTCTGTTTGATATTATATTCGCATGGTTTGTTATATTCTAACCTCATTAAAAATATAATAAAATTATGGGATATGGGATAGGCCTACTATTCTAAATGACCAGCGGAGATATTCATAGTTGATTTTGATAACCGCGACCAGGGAAATGAAATGAAGAAGGGCTGTTCAGAATACGGGTGGGTTGTCAGAATTGTTTAGGAAGGGACACTATTATATGAAGAGATATAGGAGAAAAATATAGACGCTTTTGTTAGGATAGTCTTGGAAGGAGATAAATTTAGGATTTCACTGTCTTTGCCATTCGTGTGATGCAGGCAGCTTAGGGACTTGTCAAGATGTGTTTTTAATTGCGGACGCTCAAACTGTTTACCGACAACCGTTTACAAGAGTGGAAAGTAAAACTCCACCCTCGAGAGCTTGTTGCATGAAGTATCTCCTTCTCTCGAGAGGGATTGTTGCGTGAGGGGATAATTGATCTATTTGTAATGAAAAAAACTACTACGCCACAGTAATGGGCAATATTCGGATGGTGTTATTTTGATATTTGAGAATGCTCAGAGTTCAAGGACTGCTTCTCGATTTCGTAGATTTATAAAAAGAGTATTCCACATTGTCTCCAGACTTGGCGAATGCACTGAGAGAGGACGGGCAACTGCCTGCGGCAATAGTGGGAAGAGAAGCGTACTTCTAAGCAGGGTTAACGGAGCTACAATTGCGTCACTTGCGAAGAATTCTGACAAGCGGACGTGGGACGCCTATGGCTTGAAGCACTTGATAATAAGTACTCAGATTAGAGACTGAGTGGACTGTATATAATATGACTGGATCGTGGAGTCGATAGGATTAAATTCTTCCTGAACTTGTTGAGAAACTCTTTTCTTGCTCGGCTCTTATTGCCTTTTAGGCACTGGGTTTTCGAAGAGAAGCTGCTCAAAGACAGGAGGAGGGGTTTTCAATTTTTTTCGGACGTTATAGGATCATGAACTGGTTTGACTATGAAAAGGGTTGAAATGTATGAGCAATTGACGCACGAAGGACAAAAT